GGCAACCCACTCCAGTATTCTTGCCTGGAGAATCCTATGAACAGAGGAGCCTGGTAGGCCATAGTCCATGGGGTCAGGAGGAGTTGGACACAACTGAGCAACTAACACACATACCGGTTTTTCTAGAGCTGCTGATCTCCAGACATAAAGTGATTTATAAGGAAAACATCCCCGCTCACCAAAGTCCAGTCTTCTCTCCTTCTGTTCCCTTCCACAAACCTGAGGCTTCCACCAAATGAAAGTAGTCCCTGTGCCAAAGCAAACCTGCAGACTTCTGGGTCTCCCAGACCACCTCAAGACAGATCATGCTCCCTGCTTCTCTGCTTGTCAGAGCCCATTGCAAATGCCACCTCCCCATAGCTGAATACCAGTACCATGAAGCAGCTCCCTGGTGTCACACACTGCCTGAGAACTTTTCAAACATTACCACTACAAACAAATATGATTAGTCCCTTTTGCCAGAGGAGGAAACCGAGACTCAGAGAGGGGAAATGTCTTGTCCAGGGTCACACAGCTACTAGCCTTCCCCTCTGTCTTCTTCATAATTCTCTGATGGCCCTAATCCTTGTATTGATGATGTGTGCATTCCTCTCACACCCTGCCAGCCCCATGACCCACCAGACACACAACTGTCAACCTAGAACAATTCCACGCTTGTAGTAGAACCCCAATAAAAAGTTGGTGAAAGAAGGGACTATGTATCGATATGTCCCTTGTGTAGTACATAACACAATGCCTGGTATTAGATTGGATCTCCTATTCAGCATAGAAAAAGCAAGAGAATTCCAGAAAAACATCTATTTCAGCTTCATTGACTACACTAAATGAAGTTTGACTGTGTGGATCACAAAAAAATGTGGAAAACTCTTCAAGGGATGGGAATATCAGATCACCTTACCTGTCTCCTAAGAAACCTGTATGCAGGTCAAGAAGCAACATGGATGTGGAACAACAGACTGGCTTAAAATTGGGAAAAGAATATGTTAATGCTGTATATTGTCACCCTGCCTATTTAACTTATATGAAAGTACATCATGAGAAACGCTGGGCTGGATGAATCACAAGCTGAAATCAGGAGAAATATCAACAACCTCAGATATGCAGATGATACCACTCTAGTGGTGAAAGCAAAGAGGAACTAAAAAGCCTCTTTTTTTTGCAATAAGAATTTTATGAAGTCTTTATGAAATCAAAATACTCATCACCAGATATTTTTGTAAAATTTTCATCATGAAAAGCAATAACCAAATTAAACACATATTACAATGCAGAAATAATTGCAATGATACTGAGAAGAATCAAAAAATTATAAATACTATACTCAAAGATATGTGCAAAGCTATCAAATCCATAAAATAAAAATTGTAAGGTATATAAAATGCAGAACAAAAAGTTGTTCAAAATTTTAAAATAATAATAGAAATATAAAAATCAGTAAATGTTTTGGAAGCTAACATAAAGAGCCTCTGGGTGAGGGTAAAAGAGGAGAATGAAAAAGCTGGCTTAAAGTTCAATATCAAAAAACTAAGATCATGGCATCCAGTCCCATCACTCCATGGCAAATAGATGGGGAAACAATGGAAACAGTGACGGACTTTATTTTTGGGGGCTCCAAAATCACTGCAGATTGTGACTGCAGCCATGAAATTAAAAGATGCTTGCTCTTCAGAAGGAAAGCTATGACAAACCTAGGCATTGTATGTAAAAGCAGAGACATCACATGGCCGACATAGGGTCCATACAGTCAAAGCTATGGTTTTTCCAGTAGTCATGTACAGATGTGAGAGTTGGACCATGAAGCCTGAGCACTGAAGAATTGATGCTTTCAAACTGTGGTGCTATAGAAGACTCTTGAGAGTCCTTTGGACTGCAAAGAGATCAAGCCGGTCAGTCCTCAAGGAAATCAGTCCTGAATATTCATTGGAAGGACTGATGCTGAAGCTAAAGCTCTAATACTTTGGCCACCTCATGCGAAGAGCCAAATCATTGGAAAAGACCCTGATACTGGGCAAGATTGAGGGCAGGAGGAGAAGCGGACGACAAAGGATGAGATGGTTGGATGGTATCACCAACTCAATGGACATGAGTTTGAGCAAACTCCAGGAGATGGTGAAGGACAGGGGAGGTTGGCGTACTGCAGTCCATGGGGTCACAAAGAGTCTGACTGACTGAGTGACTGAACAACAATTCCGATATTGCTGAAATTGCAGTACTGTACCAAATAAGGGCATGACTGAAGGGGAACAATCAGAAGAGATCCTGTTATGGCAAAACCTCAGCTGTCCAAAGCTTTCTAGAAATGAGTCATTCTGAAGGCTGAGAGTGAACCTTCAGAAATCAGGAAGAAGAATCCTAGAGCTGTTGCTTTTTACTCAGAGATTCCCTGGCTTCCACTCCCCTCTTCTGAGCTACCTGGTCCCCTTGATCTTCTTTTCCTTCCAGTCTGCTTTGTTTTTCTGTTGTTCTTACAAAGCTTCTTAGCTTCTGGTTTGGCAAGTTAACTGCAGTCTTTGCTGGACTACCCCACCACCACCACCACCACCACCCCGCATGCCTTTTTTGCCCTTTCTCCTCACCACAGCAACCCCACCACCACCACTTCCACAGAGCCTTCCCTGCCCTCCTCAGGCTGGTGGATGCTTCCCTCACCTGCGTTCTCATACCCACAGCACCCCATATGGGTGTCTATGATTACGCCCACCTCGCATGCTGGACTGTGTCTTTCTTGATGGTCAGAATCATATCAGCCCTAAATGTTTATGAATGAAATTTATAGGCCATTTTGTGCTTCTCAACTGCCTCTCCTTTGCTTACTCCAAGACAGCTAAGGTTTTGCTTGTTGGTTGGTTGGATTGTCATTGGGAAACCGTGAATGTTTGTTGTTCAGGATTTGTCACTCACTTACTTCTCTGCTTCCTGTTTTTATTACATTCACTGGTGTTTGTGTTGCGCTTGTCCATTTGGCTCAGGAAGGTTCCAGCTCAGACATTATGCTCTTTGTTTTGTGGGGGAAAGGGTTGGCCCATCAAGGTCATGGCCCAGTCCTGCCAGTCCACCTTGCCTAGAAAACCAAGAGACCAGACCTCATTATTTGTTCCACGAATGTTTATTTGAATGCCTACACAGTACCAGGCCCTGAGCCAGACATTAGAGAGATAGAGATGGAAATTGTGTGTCCTTGTCCTGCCTCTAGCACCCCATGTGAGCCTTTTCTAGGTCTCTTTCATTTGCCCATCTGAAAGTAAAGCGGGGTAGAGACCTGATTTGTAAGCAGCCTTATCTGTCAACTTTGGGAACTCATCTATACAGGTTGCTCTCACCTTCCCCACATCTGTGCTTTCCCCGAGAAGAGCCCAGGCCTGCATTGTACCTCACTCCCTCCTCCCCTACAAATTCTGAGCAGATGTGCTCTAATACATCTCACTCTGTATGTGGCCAAGTATTAATAGCCCCAAGAAGCAGCTTGAGAACCCCAGCTAGAGAGAGAAAAAAAAGAGTGAGAAAGAGGAGGAGGGGTATAGCAGGTACATTGGGGTACATGGCCATAGAGGGTACATTGGGAAAGGCCAGTGCATCAAAGACATTCCCTAAGCCCAACTCTGAAGACTGATATTAGTCTAATTCGAGGACCCCAAACCAGAGTGGATGTGGGGAAGGAGACACATTTCCACTAACCTTTCTGGACAAGGCTAAGGAATTAACATTTCCTTGCATTAGTAGGATACTTGATACTATCTTTGTCTTTGGTATTCCTAGCAACCTTTTTGATTACATTCAAAGATATTTTTGAGAGCCTACCTTCAAAGCCTCCTGTTGAGAATTACTGGCCTTTTCCAGTAGGACACTTATCACAAATTCAAGTGTATAGACAGTTTCATGATTTTTTAATGTGCTTCCTCCACTAGACTGTGAGTTCAATAAAGACAGGGATGATGCCCATCTTCTTTCACACTGAATCTTCAACACATAGAACAGTACATGACAAACAATAATCACTTAAGTTACCAAAAAAATGATCCACGGGTCTGGGATCTGGAGATAATCTTTAATTCTGCAAAGGCTAGCGCACAGATCTAACCCTTTTAGCCTGAAACATAATAGATGTTTAATAGACATTAATTTAATGCATAATAACAGGAAACATAATTGTACTTACCGTGTGCCAGGCCCTGTGCTAAGCGCTTTACATTCACTCACTCAATCCTCAGAACAACCTGATGAAGTAGGTACTATTATTATCCCCATTTTACAGGTGGGGAAACTGAAGCACAGAGGTTCGCCAACTTGTAAGTGGAAGAGCTGAGACCTAAACGCCAACAATCTGGCTCGAAAGTCCATGCCCTTAACCGCTGGGTTGCCTTCCAACAATAGAGAGATGGCGTGATTCCCCCCAGTGTCCTGGGAGGAACTTGGTGGAACCTGGACTGGAAGCCAGGTCTGCACTCTGTGCAGTGTTTCTCCCACTGGTCGCTGGTACAGAGACCCTGGAAACAGAGGCACAAGGAGGAATCTGAGAAACCTAGATATTCACTCAGAAAAAGGCTCTAGTCAACTAGGTAGCTCTCAGCAGAAGTCAGGCAGAGTCAAAGAGCATCCACCAGGGCAGAAACAAGTGTGATCACCAGGTTCTTTTCCTTAAGCAGGGAAAAGTAGCAGACTCCTTTTCAGAGATCCCATTTGAGGCCTAAGCCATTCCCTCTTCCTGCACTAATTTATCAGGGACCCCCTCCCACACACACAGAGCTAGAACCACCCAAAGGCAAGGCAATTGAGTACCCCTGGGGAAAGGATGCACGTTAGGGAGCTAAATATGTGTGTAGGATGTCGGGGTGGGGCAGAGAACAGGTAAGACTGGAGAAAAGGTTAGGTCAAGACTAAAACCTCCAACAGATAAAAGGACTCAGTAAAGAGATTAAAGCAAAGCACCTATAATCAGCTCAGCTTTAGAGGCACTGGCCTTCTGTTTGGGCTTCCTGCCACAACAGAACAGCACTATGGCCATGGCCTTCCTCTCCAGGCTGAATCTTCAGGAAATCCTCCAGACCCTCTCTGTTTTGCAGTGGGTGCCAGTCTACGTCTTTTTAGGTGAGTGAACCCCAGGGCCTGGAGAGTACAGAGAATAAATGAAGAAAGAGAGCAGGAATCTCCAAATGATTGACATTGATATTGACGTCACTCAGACGTGTCCGACTCTTTGCGACCCCATGGACTGTAGCCTACCAGGCTCCTCCGTCCATGGAATTTTCTGGACAAGAGTACTGGAGTAGGTTGACATTTCCTTCTCCAGGAGATCTTCCCGACCCAGGGATCGAACCCTGGTCTCCCTCATTGTAGGCAGACGCTTTACCATCTGAGCCACCAGGGAAGTTTGGGAGGATTCTAAAGAGATAATTTGGTCAGTCCCCTCTCTCTGGGAAGGACTGTGCCTCTCCACCCAGAGAGATGGCCATTGTTGAGTACACTAGATATCTCTCTTCCCAACTGAGGAACACAAAGGCCAGGAGTAAAGCTGCAGTTGTTCTGGTTTAAAGTCCACCCCAGCCTTCTCTCAGAACTGCCCCTCTGTGAACTAGCTGAAAAGAGTCTTATTTGGGGACAGGGGCAGAATTGGTACTGGGCAGATGTAAGGTGATTTTCTTTATTACGATGAGAGAATTATGGAAAAGCTGGGGGCTGCCTGAGTGACTCATTAGACGGAATTTTGAGAAAGGGCCAGTTCTTCAACGGACTCAAAAAATCACAGTCATCAGTGCTGGGCAAATGGGCTGAGAGTTCCAAGCTCTTCCCAGTCAGAAACCAGGTCTTTGTGGGCAGCCGATTACAGGGCTGAGTTTGGAAACTGGACATGGAGAAATTTCATCCTGAAGGATGGGACAGGATAGGAGGCTGCCCAGTCCAATCTGTGGGAGGATATATGTCCCTGTAGAGCAGAGGTTCTTAATTAGAGACCTATATACACTAGTGCTTTCCAGGTCGCACTAGTGGTAAAGAACCCTCCTGCCAATGCAGGAGAGTTAAGAGACAAGGGTTCAATCCCTGGGTCAGGAAGATCTCCTGGAGAAGGAAATGGCAACCCACTCAGGTATTCTTGCCTGGAGAATCCCATGGACAGAGGAACCTGGCAGGCTACAGTCCATGGGGTCGCAAAGAGCCAGACACAGCTGAAGCGACTTAGCATGCACATAGACCTAGAATGAGACAGGGAGGGAGAATGTTGAATTTGGAAGGAAAAAAATCACCTCTTTGTTTTCACTAACCTCATCTTGAATTGATGAACGTAGGCAGCAAACCACAGAAGTATCTGTAAATTTGTCAGTAACAGACATCATGGAGATTTAAATTTCACATGCCAGTTGTTGCAGGCATCTCAAAAGTTCATTTATGCTTGTTACCACTTCCGAATTCCAATAGTTATTGGAACTATCATTAGGTGTGGTTATCTACTGCATAAATAAAGAATTCATGTACTGTACCACATTTTTTGCAATATTTTGATAACTGTGTTTAACTATGATGAGTTTCCTTTGTAAGTCTGTGTATTTTATTTTGTGCATTTAAAAATAATATTCAGAAAAGTGATCTATAGGCTTCACCAGACTAACAAAGAAGTCCATGGCCACCCAAAGGTGAAGACTTAGTGGGCCTTATTGAAATCAAATCATGCTAAGCCCTTAGCCTATCAATAACTTGACTAGTTGCATTAAGAGAAGGAAGTGATTTTTCTATAAATTTATTTGTTTCTAGTGTTTCATATTTTATTGTTGCTGTCCTTTGCCATCTATGTTTTACTTCCTCAAAAATACCCCTTAACAAGTTCCAGCCCTTAGTTAGGAAAGTGGGGGTCACCGGAATGTCCTAAGAGACTTAACATCATGGTGGCACCTGTCATTTCAAGTCTGGACCCTAGAAAGAGTGGGCAAAGATGGGCAGAGAGAGCAAGGAAAAGAGGTCCAGAGAAGAGCTGTATGAGCTGAGCCTTTTAGGTGTGGGGTCAATCCCACCCTGGAAAATTTCTGTATGGTATTTGAACACAAGTGCCTAGATTGTTCTGCCTCTTCTGGGGAGGGCTTCTCAATATAATGTTTTCATTTTTCTCCCCAAAAATCATATTTCTTGAGTATTTTTCTCTTTCTTCCTTTTCCCCTCTCAAAGGACATGAGCTAGGATAAAGGGTATGTTCAGCACTGAATGTATAAAGATCCAAGACGATAAGACTAGCCTCCTGGTAACACCCACCCCCCTCCAATCTTACCAGCTTCCAGCCATCCTAGAAGAGCTATGGCACCTATGTGTCTTGAGTGAAAAACTCTCTGTCCCACTTCATATGAGTGGAATCATGTACTATTTGTCCTTTTGTGATTTCACAAAAAAATTGCCTTTTTTTTTGCCATCTTTTGCCTTCTTTCACTTAACACAATGTTTTCAAGATTCATCCATGTTGTGACAGAATTTCCTTCCTTTTTAAGGCTGAATAATATTGTATCATATGTATATACCATTTTTTGTTTATTCATTATCCATTAATGGACTCTGGTTTTTTCTACCTCCTGGCTATTGTGAATAATGCTCTATGAACATGGGTGTTCAAATATCTCCTTGAGAGCCTGCTTTCAATTCTTTTGGCTATATACCCAGAAGTAGAATTGCTGGGTCATATGGTAATTCCATTTTAAAAATTGTTGTGCAATTGTCATACTGTTTTCCATAGCAACTACATCATTTTACATTTCCACCAACAGTGTGCAAGAGTTTCAATTTTTCCACATCCTCACCAACACTACTTTATTGTCTATTTTTTTAGTAGCCATCCTAATGAAATGAGATGATATCTCATTGTGGTTTTAATTTGTATTTCCCTAATGACTAGTGAACTTTAGCATCTTTTCGTATACTCATTGGCCATTTGTCTTGACTTCTTTTAGATTGATTATCATTCCACTTGTCTTCTGTTAGTTTAGGTTACTATACATCCTGTTTCCCTTCTTCTAGTGATTATGCTAGAAATTACAACACAAATCCTGGATCTTGGAGGTTATCAAGGTAGCTAAAACATGTAACAGTGTATGATACCCACCGAGTTGCCTAAGACAGTCAAATCTGTCCAACAGTTACAGAGCAATTACAAAGTATAAGATTTTGGCTGTCCTTGTGACACTACAACAATGAACCAAGTATAGGCTCTTCTATCTGGTAACAAAGAGAAAATAATCATTCATTCCACCATTCTACCATTCCAGGTATCAGTGCTGAACACATAAGTGAATCATTACATTGTAAGATTGACTGTGTTAAGTGAAATGAACAGACACAATGAAGCCACTAGAAAATATTACACAAGGTTAACAGGATCAGGGAAGGCAGGAAAGGGCAGCAATGTGATGCAGTGAACAGGACATGGGTTCTGCAGTTTGTCAAACTTGGTTAACAACTAGCTGTTGTGAATTTAGACAGGTACTGTAACCCTTCTAAGCCTCCATATCCCCATCCTCTCAAGCCTGGTTCACAATAAACGCTCCATACAAAAAAAGTGTCCTTCCTTCCTCCCTCCCTTCTTCCTTCCTAATTCCCTTCTATCTTCTCTTTCTCACTCCCTTTCCTTCATTCTTTCTGTCTTGCTCAGAGTCGTCCTCAGCACTTCTCCTCCTTCCTGAATGATGGTCAGAATCGTGACTGATTACTGAGCACTACTGAAAGTGGGGGGAAGGGAGGAAGTAGGGAAGAGAGAAAGAGAAAAGGCAGAGGGACAAGAAGGAGGAAAGAAGTGAGAAGAGAGGAATGAAAAGATGGTTTGGGGGAATACAAATGTTCATGACCTTTGAAACTCAGCAATGCTCCTGAGAGCCTCTCTGAGGCCCAGCTTCCAGTTAAAGGATGGCTCTCCATCTGTCTCTCTTTTTCTGGGCTTGTATCACCAGTGATCTAAACTATTGCAATATCCTTTTTCCTGGCCCTCTACTCTCCACCCTATCCAATATATTCCACTGCTTACATCCAGAAGAGTCCTTCAAATGCATCTTTGATTACAGCCCTCTACTGCTCAAAAATAGTCACTGATTTTCCCTTGCCTACTTGATGAAGTAAAAATGTGTCATCCGGGGCATTCGAGGACCTTCTCCACTCTCTGGTTTTAACTCTTTGCCAGCTTATCCCCCTACTTGAAGCTTGTATTCCAGGTAACTTATTCACAGAACAAATGGGAAGGATACTTACTCTCCCACTCCTTTACTTTTGCTCTATTTCCTTCTCCACTTAAAAAATTCCCTGATCACCCTTCCTGAACTATCTATGGACAATCCCTTCTTTGAGATATTGCTCAAGTTATACCTTCTCTGCAACGCTTTCCTGGTAGCCTGAGACTACTTTGTCTCTGAAAATCTCTGCACTTTGTAAAATTTGGTTGGACAGCAGTCTTTACACCCTTTGTCTCCTCTACCCAATAGGCTTCATGAAAACAGGAGTCATGCCTTGTCAATATTATATTTCTTGCAAGACCAGGCTTGACACAGTTGATTCTTCCACATTTTTTCTCCTCAGTAAAGACCTTTAAGTCTACCTCTTGCTCTTTTCTCCCTCTCCTGGAAATCCTTTTTTTCATTGGCCTGCCTCCTTTCTCTGGTTGCTGATTCTACAAAAAATAGAACATAGTCTTGGGAGTCAAACAGACCAAGTCTGCCATTTACTTATTATGTGACCTTGTGCAAGTAAGTCATGTTCACCCTCCACCATTGTAGAATAGAGCTCCCAAGACCACTCTGATAATCAAAGAAAACCCTCAACAGGTGTTCATTTTATTTTGGGGGGTTATAGGAATTGAAATTACTTGGAGCCCAACTATTCCACCTCATAAGACATTTTTAATGTCTTTATATGTTTATTGGTCATTTTTAAATGTATTTATTTTTAATGGAAGGATAATTGCTTTATAATGTTATATTGGTTTCTGCCATATATCAATTTGATTAGCAGAAGAGTGACTACCACTTCTGAGACAGGCACCCTAGACTCTGATTTCATTGCACCTCCAAGAAGAATACTGAATAACTAGATCCTAGAAAATGAGGCAAATAGAAATTTTGATACCTTCC